CGCAAACGCCATTCTCGTAGTTGCCTTACGTGGCCCTTGGTCCCCTCGAGGCGCGAGCGGCGGCAGCGTTACAGCGTCGGGCGCAGCACGAGAGCATCAGCCTGTCCAGCAGTCTCGTGTGCGCCCGGGCACTCGACGATATCCGCGCCCGCCAATCGCGTCATAGTGTCCTCCGAGGCCCGAACACTCCAACCAAATCCTCCACCCAAAGCCGCTCTCGATCCGGACAGGTACGCGCAACTTACGCGGGGGCCGGGGCGGTTCATTCGACGCTCACGTACAGGCCGAGCGATACATGTTTGAAGTGGTCGAACGCGGCTGCACACGAGGGTATCAGACGTGCGCAGATGGACACAGGAGTCGCCAGACGAACCTCCCTTGTAGGCAAGAGCTACTCCGCTTCCATGGCTGCGACTCGGCGCGACTACCCGGCGTCCCGCGAAGGAGCGGTGATGCACTCAAGTCTCCCGTAACGGCCGCTAGGACGTCTGGGTCGATGGGCCGAGAGGACGAGACCCGAGAAGTGTCTTGTGTGAGCGGGGGATTCCGAGTACGATCCCGAGTTCCCTACGACGCGGAAGGCGCGGGGAGGGGCCGAGCGAGCTTTTCGCTCCTGGCCTGTGAGGAAGGGATTGCGCGGACGATACGTGCTATTGCGGGGCGCGACGCGGGGGATCGGGGAACGGGCTTCGGGAGTAGTACTCACCGTACGCAATGAGACGAGGACGTCGGGGATGTTGTCGAGAGGGAACTCGCTGGCGCGGTCGAAGTCGCAATCGCAGACGCCGTCGCAATCGCAAACTTGAGCTCTGAAGGGGTAAGAGAAAAGTGGGATTTTCCCGGAGCTCGGGGCCCCGCGTATATACAGGAGGGGCCGGAGCCGTACGGGAAGGATAAGAAAGAAAAGATGCACCCGTCGCGCAAGGCGCGACGGGCGCGACGATCGGGCCCCCTACGGGGGCCGCGCTCTGCAGGCCTTGCCTAGACTGTCGGGGCCGCGCGTACCACGCGGTGTGATTGGTGGGCGGGGACGCATGCGCCGCGACCCCCGACGAGCGTATCGGGTGTTTCGTACTGCCCTCGAACCCCAATGCTTGGCGGGGCTTGGCGCCCCCGGTCGGGGCCACTTATCGCGGCTCGCCTTGCTCGACTCGCGGGTGGCGAGTGAGGGGTGGTGCGTGAGCGACGATGGGGCTTCGGGGAGGCTCGGGGCCGCTCGGGGCGCAGAACCCGCTAGGGAGTCGGCGTCGGGGTGGTCTGAGCTCGAGAGCGGTGCCCACACCGCGGCGGGCGGCAGGCGCGGTGAGTGCGCATCAGCGGTGGCACCGGCTCCCATTGCGCCTTTGTTCTGCCACACTCGAGCGCGCGCGCAAAGGCCCGAGAAGGCCGGTCACGGCATGGTCAGAATCACGTCCACGCGAGGGGTCACGTCCACGCGAGGGGTCACGTCCACGCGAGGAGTCACGTCCACGCGAGGAGTCACGTCCACGCGAGGGGTCACGTCCACGCGAGGGGTCACGTCTCCGCGGAATTTGCCGAGCACAGCCACTCGATCGACTTCAGGCGCCCGTGGGCTCGATCGTCCTCCGCAACCGACCGCCACCACTGCTCGACCTCACTCCCTCTCATCTCCTCCACATCCACCTCGCGCGACTACACCAACACCACACGACCGCCATGAACATGCCCAAGCGCTACTTCAAGGTGAGTATGCACTGCTGGTTCAACTGGGGCGCTACTAACACACGCACGGCCAGATCTTGCGCCCGTTCATCGCTCCCGATGCGCAGCGCGCGGTCAAATGGGATGACTTTTACGGAGTATACGACCCCGCCGGTACACGGCTCCGGCTACTGACTCCGTCCTTTGCAGCTATTCGTCAACCATTTCGAGTTTGACGTCAAGCGAGGCAAAGGCCGCGTCCACGCCTTCACCCCGCCGACTCAAGGCTGGGTCTTTGCACCGAAGAAGTTCCTCGCGTACAAGGTGAGCGTAGCTGGAATACCCTGCACCGCACGCGCATTACTGACCTCCCGCAGCCGAAGCGGCCTGAACTCACGCCGACGGAGGTGCGCGAGTAAGTCCGCCTCCCTTTATTCGCGTGTCCGTACTCTGCTAATGCACGCAGACCCCTGTAGCATTAGGAAGACCTTGAAGGAAGTATACGGGTGGGGTCCCGACTCGTTCACCGGCGTTTAGTTCAGTAGGATATAGGTTTCGAGGGCAAAGTGTACCGGGGACAAAGTGTGCGGGGGCAAGGTGTTCGCAGGGATGGAAGTAATACATCAGTAGGATTGGGTCGACTAGCTCGAACATTCGTGCGACTTGTAGGTAGTCTATAACAACTTAGTTAATAGTAGGAAGGTAGAAATAGGGCATCTTCAAATATATTTTTCAATACTTTGAACGGTGAGTCTCCCTTCCGGGCACGCAAGCTCTGCACTTCGCGCGACGCAGAGCTATGTTTTAATCTGCGCCATCACGTTCACACGGCGTGTCTACTCTGCTCGAACCTGACCTTTACACCGCAGTTCAGACCGCGCATGTAAGTAACAGTAGGGTCGCCTTATCAAACCAGTGTGAGTTGCACAGAGTCTTGAATATAGGCGTATGAGATGAGGATACAAATGAGAACGGCGGCGCTGAGGCCCCGGGATGGTGCTATACAGTCCATGTCCAGCCACTGCCCACGGGCGCCTAAGCGCCAGAACCCGACCGCGGCACAGCCACGGTCACCGAGGCCTTACACCCTCCCCCTCCGGATCGACCCATGATCCACTAGTTGGTGATGAACGAGCGTGATGGTGGTGGGCGTGGAGAGCGAGTGGTGGGGAGACGGGTAGCCGAGGACCGCGCGCACGGGGATGATAGTCGGGCGCGATCCTCATAGTAGTCGGCTAGAGTTCTTCCCCGTCGTCCAGCTCGTCGAAGTCGCCATGGTTCGTCTCGTGGGTCTCGAGTAGGGGTGATCCCCAGGCCAGCTCGTGGTATTTGACGACGAGGGCGATCTCGGCGGGGCCGGTGACGGCGGCGAGCGAGGCAGGCTCAGCAGGCCAGGGGGATTCGTCCGTGACCTCTCTCTCCAGAGTGATGTTGCGCGCGCGGAGTGCCCAGCGGCGAAGGGAGGTGATGATATCCTCAGCCAGTCCGACGCCGTGGGTGCAGAACCACGCGGCGATCAAGACGTGAGAGGCGTCGTCGGACGAGTAGGGGTACCGCACGGGCGCCGCCTGGGGTTCAGCGATGAACTCTCCGGCGGCGACTACGCGCTCGTACCATCCGGGGATGGAGAATAGCTCCACCGCGAGCGCGCGGATTCGCGCGTCATGCTCGTGGTGGGGATTCTTCTTCGACCGAAGAGGGAGGAGGTGCCACAACAGGAAGAATGCGCGGCAATCCGCGAGGAGAGGGACGCTGAAGCCAGTGCTGGGAGGCACTGCGCCCGACGCTAACCTCATCCCCGTGGGCCACGTACTCACTTCGGCGCACCTGAAGAACCTCCACACGACGTCAATGTCGGCGGAGGCCTCAGGGTAGCGACCGAGGTGCATGCGGGGGGCGTTGACCGGGCGCGGCGTAGGCTTCCGGGCATGAGCCTTGCGCCGGGCCGCGTCCGCGCTCTGTTGTTTCTGCAGGAACCGTATGCCTTCAGGGCGTACGTGCCCCGACACCTGATACATGGTTCCTACGAACTTCAAGAAGCGCAAGGCTTCTTCGTCCCATTCGACTAGGGCCCACCATCGGAGATTCTGGGCCTGCACCACCGTTTCAATGGTGGTGCCGGACCAGGCTCCGAACTCGGGGTCCACCGTGGACGGGAGGGGTTCGATAGTCTCCATTCCCCGGGCTCGAGCCGCTCGGTTGACCTCTTTGGTGTGAGCCGCAGTGGTCAACTGATTGGCGAACGAGGAGATGGGGTCCGGGAAGACCAGGTCGAGACCAGGGGCGGCACCATTGCCGTCGTCTGACTCGTCGTCGTCGCCCGCATCGTGGTCCATGGCGTCGAATGACTCGGCCATGGACAGCGGCGGGCTAATCCAACTGAGGTACCAGGCCGACAGAGGCTGGCCCGACGCTTCGAGAGAAGTGTCGACTTGGCCCTGTCGGCTGAGAACGTGGTGCGCCTCGCGTTCGGCCTCAGTCATCAGACTGAGTTCGAACTCGGAGACTGGCACCGACTGCGGGGCGATGCGAGTCGTCGGGAGTGCCGCGGGCTGCGGCGCGGGCCGAACCGCAACTGCCTGCGGGGGCGCATTCGTGGGCGCTGTAGGTTGGACCGGAGCGCCCGACGGCTGCGCGCCCTGAGGGGCCCATCGACTGGCCCATCGACTGGCCGCGAGCGGGGCGCGAGCGTGTGCGGGTTGGGTGGAGCGATTGGTTGGCCCCTGCTGCACGCGCGACGACGAGGTTTCCGTAGTACGGTGGCCCGTCGTCGTGGTGTTCGCAGGAGTGGGGCCCACGGCATTGGTGGGCGGCTGGACCGGGGTAGTTGCGTGGTGGCCCGATCCAGCTGTGCGCCCTCGGCCGGCGCCGTCCCAGCCCCCATCCGATCCCGGGGGAACGAATCGGGGTCCGGTAGGCGCATACCCACGGCGGAGGTGCTGAACTTCCTTGTTCAGCGACTGCGTCTCGGCACGAAGAGAAGTAACCTCTTTGAGGAGCGTGTCGCGCTCCTCGCGGAGGCCCTTCAGCTTCGTCCCCGCTTCGTCCAGTGCGCGATCGCGCTCGCGAATGCGCGCGCGGAGGTCGGCTTCCTTTGCCTTGAGTACGCCGCAGTCGTTTGCGAGCTCGGCGTACTTTTGCCGCGCGTCCGCAAGTTCCTTGTACGCGTCCGCGGCCCGCTCCCAGCCATTCGACTCCGGCCCGTACGAAGGGCCCGAGTAGTTGGACTGGGGCGGGCCATAGTTGTTGGGGCCGGGCCCGTAGTTGTTGTTGGGGCCGGGCCCGTAGTTGGGTCCCGGACCTGGCCCGTAATTGGGCCCGTAGTTGTACGCCGGGCCCGGAGATGAGAAAGGTGGCGGCGGGAAGCCACCGAAGTGGCCACCGCCGCTCCCTCCCCCTCCAGGCTGGCCGTACGAGTCGTCGATGTCCATGCGGCCACGCTTGTTGTGGCCCGCATGGTCGACCATATCGGGCGAGGGTGGGCCCCGCTGAGACATGGCGGTGGGAGGAGAGCGGGTGTGGAGCGCGGGTGCGAGTAGTTAAGCGAGAGCCGAAGAGAGCAGGGCCTGGGTGGGAAGATGGGCAGGGGAAATGGGTGATGGACGCCAACCGACGATTGGCCGGAGAGCACCTCAATTAAGGTTCGCTCTCCGCCCATCGGAGTTACGCCTACACTCCCACGCCACATCCGCGCACGCCCCGCACTCTCAGCGCCAATCCGCGTCAACCTTCAACGCCCCCGAACCACGGTCGCCCCCGCTCTCGATGTCGGCCCACCACTACCTCGGCGGTGGCGGGTAACGATCGAGAGTGGGTTGCGGCGTAGCGGGCAGGTTCGACATTACCGACGCGCCCGCCTTCCACGGTTCATCCGCGGAAGGCGGTGCCAGTCGTCGGTGCCCATCAATGCCAGGTAGTCGTCGAGTGCCTTAAGCTCGTCGCAGTGGGCGATCGGCTCCCATGTGTGCTCGCCTGTGGACCACCGGACCAGGAACTCGATGGAATTACCATTCCACCGATGTCCTGCGATCTCGTCCACTAGCCACTCCTGCTCCTCGGGCATGCCGAAGTCATAGAACTTCTTGGCTTCCCGCCCGGGGAATATGGATGCATCGCTCTCATGATGCGGCTTCAGGAGTGCTGCGTGGAATGTCGGATGAACTCGTCGGCGGACTAGTTCACCGGGCAGTTCCAGCGTATAACTCGACGTCTCGGGGTGCGCACGCAGGACCTTGTACGGCCCAATATATTTCGGCGCGAGTTTGCGCGCCCGATTCCTCGGTAGCGCCAAATTCCGTGTCGACAAATACACGAGGTCGCCGACCATGTAAGGCTTCTCGTCGTCCGTACGGAGTCGATTGGCATGATGCGTCATAGCCACTCGACTCTGCAGGATGGCGTCGTGTGCCTTCTCCAGGTTCATACGTGCCCTATCGGCGAAGGCCTGAACACCAGGGAACGGAGACGTTCCTTGGTCCCAGGTCGCCATTCGGGGTACATAGCCGCAATTAAGCTCAAACGGTGCGAAGCCCGTGGAGGCGTTCACGCTGGAGTTGATTGCGAACTCGACCATTGGGACGCGGTCTACCCAGTCGGCTTGATGCGGCTCAACCACCGTACGCAGAATCTGAGTTACGTTCCGGATGGCCCGTTCAGAGGCCCCATCCGTTTGCGGGTGGAACGAAGTTGACATGAGCAACTTCGTTCCCAGCAATCGATGTACTTCCTTCCAGAATACAGACGTGAATTTCGAGTCCCGGTCGGATACAATAGACTCCGGCAATCCGTGGAGGCGGACTACTTCCGCAATGTAGTATTCCGCCACTGCGGTAGCCGAGTCTGTAACCCGACACGGGATAAGGTGCACCATGCTCGTCAGTCGGCAGATGACGACGAGCATGTAGTTGTACCCATTGGAGTCGGGAAATGGACCTACGAAGTCCATTCCTATTGACTGCCAAGGGTATAGAGGAACGGGCATCGAGTGAAGTAGCCCCGACGGCATCATGTTAGATGTTTTAGACATCTGACATGCCCCGCACGAGGTACAGAATCGCTCGATATCACGCGTTAAACGTGGCCACCAGTACCATCTCCTCACGTACTCCATAGTCTTTTGGGCACCGAGGTGCCCAATAGTCTGGTGCGCGTGGTCGATTATCATTTCGCGCAGGCTACGTGACTTGAGACGGCCCGAGGGTACGCATAGCACCTTCTGGCCGAATCGATTTGTCACGTACAGCAACCCGGCCGCGTCCTCGAAGGACGGGTATGCCTTCAAGTTAGACATAACCTTCGAAAAGGTTGTGTCTTCCGAGTAGGCCCCCACGACGGCGGCACGAAACCCCTCGTCTCCGTGTACGATGGTGTCGAGTGCGGGACCCGCCTGAAGGGCGTCCTGCACGCTGACGGCGGAGTCGGGCCCAGACAATGGTCGTGGCACGCTCGCCGAGATCATGTCTGTGGCCTCGGCTTCGCGGTCTTCTACTACCTCACGCAGTGCCCGCAGGGCTAGCTCCTCGATTGCGGTATTCACCTCCGCCTTACGATCGGAGGGGATATCCTCCAGTTCCGGGTCGAGACGGATGTCGGCGTTGACATAGTCTTGAACCGGACGGAGTACGTCGGGAGGATCGTTCTCGAAGTAGCGGGACAGGCAGTCCGCTACTTTGTTGTCCTTGCCCGGGACGTGCTCAATTTCGAAATCGTACCGGGACAGGAATTCATCCCACCGAATCAACCTACCAGACCGGGTATCCCTCTTGACGTCTCGCATAGTCAAGAGGGCTTCGTGGTCTGTAGCGATACGGAATTTCCGACCGATGAGTCGGTCCTCCCACTTCAGGAGGGCCTCAATTATTCCCAAAGCTTCGTGTTCGTACGTCTGGTACGAGCGCTGGGCGGAGGTGAATTTCTTGGACATAAACCCCGCGGGGCGGCAGGTCCGCCAGTCGGGCCCTTGACCGTATACGGCCCCCACACCACACACCGATGCGTCTGTGATGACCCAGATGGTCTCATCACAGTCGGGGTCGATCGGCTTGAGTATCGGGGCTTTACACGCCATGGCCTTGATTCGGTCGAGACATGTCTGGTGTAATGGCCGCCAGTGAAACGGCTGCCCATTACGAGAGATGGTCTCGAGCGGGGAAGTGAAGGCCGATAAGTCGGGCATGAAGTGGGCGAGGTACTGGACCAATCCCAGGAATCGGAGGACTTCGTCCTTCGATTGCATGGGAGGCCAGTCCCGGATTTTGGCCATCTTGTCAGTGTCAGCATGCAGTCCTCGGTCATCGATAAGATGACCGAGGCAATCCATGCGGGCAGAGTAGAGGTCCAACTTGGCCCAACTGAGGTAAAGCCTCTGTTCGCGCAGGCGATCGAATACCAACCGTAAATGCTCTTCGTGTTCGCCTATAGTTCGGGAGAACACGAAGATGTCATCGAGGTATACGTGTACGAATACTCCAATGTACTCCCGGAATATCCAAGTCATAAGACGCTGGAAAGTTCCGGGTGCATTACAATCCCCTTGTTGCATGACATGCGACACTGCCATACCGAATATGGTGGAGAACGCCGTCTTCCAGACGTCCTCCACTTCAATTCGGATCTGCTCGTAAGCGTCGGACATGTCTATCTTAGACCGATGTGGTGCTCTAGCCACATCTTGTCGAATGTTGTCCTGGTCGGGGAACGGCGTCACATCCTTGAATGTGTTGTCATTCCTCTGACGGGCATCAATGACAGTGCGGATCTTCCCGCTCTTCTTGAGCACGCATAGTAATGGAGCCGCCTGGTTGGCGGGTTTCATTTCCCACCAACCAGCGTCCAAGTACCTATCCATTTTTGTTTTGAGCTCGCTGCGCAGTGCGTCGGGGCAGCGGGGATGGTGGTAATGATACCGGTGCTGCTCGTCGATGAGGGGAATTCGGTGGTTAATTTCCCTCATCGGTGGCAGTTCGAGCGGTATGGGTCCCACCAGGTCATCGACCTTGCGGAACCACTGTTCCCGAAGATACGGGATGACCTCCGGCGGTTTGAGGTATGAACGTTCTGGTAGTTCGCGGAGGTAGTTGACCACCTCCTCGTACAACAGTTCGTTCATTCCGTATTTGTCTTCATTACCGAACTTGTCTCGCTTCACCCCGGAGGAGGAGTGAAGTGATATAGGTTCCCGGCCGCCCAATTCCGGCATATCCGGCGGGTTCCTCGGGTCCCGTTTCCACGGGACCGAGTGCTTGCGAGGACGTTCACTGTCCTCCGGATATACAAATTGGGCTTGGTGCGGGGGCAATGCCTTGTCGCAGTCCTCACTAAGGACGGTATCCGCAGCCCGGTGCTCCACCGAAGGCGGTTCCACCAGGTCACTGGTGGGCCGTTCGGTATTGTCACTAGGTGGGGACCTATGGGACGAGCGATCATCGTCTTCGCCCGGTCCCCGGTCGCCAGGTTCCTCCTTTCGCTTCCTAATCTCTTCGACGATGTACGGAAGATGTCCGTCCAGGACCAGTTCAGGATCAACTCCTGCCTGGTCCAGTTCAGGTACATCTTCCATTGTCACGCGTCGAGCAGGAGATGCAGGGAGTCACTGCGGGGTTTCGGGCTGTACAGCCCCGTGGGGCTTACGTGAATTGCTTCGTCGTACTCGGTACGAGGAATCTTCCTCGAGGGTAAAAGCCGGGCAGACCTGGCCTTTGACAATGATGGCTCGTTGTTCAAAGTCCAGGGATATCCCATGAGCGTTCATGAACGGAGTCCCTATCACGCAGTCATACCGATCGAGGTTGACGATGTCAAAGTACATCGTCTGCGCGATCGGCCCGAACTGTAATGGGACCCAGGTGCCATAATTAATCTTAGATCGGCTTCCTGAGCATCCCAGCTGAAGGATAACTTGTTCCGTCAGCTTGACGGGTTTGGCTCCGGATATGTGCGCGAACTCCGGTGATACGGAGTCCGTGGTGCTTCCCGAGTCGAATAATGTATAGGCCATTATGCCATTGACGTTAATCAACGCGCATAAGGACGCTTGCAATCGACGATCCCGACTCGGTTGAACCGAGTCGGGTGTGGATTCTCGCCGCCTTACGCTCGTGGAATGTTCGAATGTTCTTGTTGTGGGGGTCGTCCTGCCCGCGCGCATGTGGAGGACTATTTCGTCCTCTTCATCGCTGGGTATGGATACCCTCATGGCCATGGCATGAGCGCGAACTACTTCTGAACCCTCCCCCTCCGAAGGTGCCATAGGTGCTTCCTCGGAGTCGTATTGGGATCCGCCCCATTGGTCTACCTCATAAGGGTTCCCAATGGTGGCCTCTCCATCCACTTCGCCCCCGTCAACCATGTCCACCCGTTGGGCGTGGAACCTGGTACGCTGGGGCGGTCGACCACCCTGTGGCCGGTTTTTGCCGTACTGAGGGCAAGCAGGATCATTGGCATAATGACCTATCTGTCCACACCCGTAACAGGAATTCCCAGCGGCCGATGTCGCTGGGCGTGTCTGAGCGGGTGTGGCGGGTCGAGATGCCACCGGCTTGTAAGACGTGTCGTTGCGGGTAGTATCCGACGACGATGGTTTCCGGTCGCGAGACGGTGCACGGTCACGGCCCCTCGAGTTCGCCCGAGCGACGACCTGAGGAACGGTGACCGTGGCCGGTCGGCGCTCCCGGTCTTGGTTTTCATGTCGACGGACCCGAACCAGTGCCTTCTCTACCTGCCTGGCACTGGTGAGGATCTCGTCGACAGTGGATTCCTCCGCATTGATATTCCTCTCGATGGATAGTATGCGATACACCTCAGCCGGTAACCCTTCCATCAGCTTGCGTCTGATGGTATAGTTATCCGGGGGTTCGACCATTCGTGACGCATACTTCATCATTTCGGCGTAGAAAGACTCCAGGCCGTCCTGACTGCGGTATCGACAGTTGTCAAAGTCAAGGGTGGCTTTCGCAGCCGAACTCGAATGTACGAATCGTCTGTGCATGGCGCAGATTGTCTCTTCGAATGTGGGTAGATAACCCAGCGATGGGTTATCTATGCACACCGTGAACCAATCTGCTGCCTTGCCAGTGAGGTACGTGCGCATGTAATGCACCCGGAATCTATCGGTAGACGGTCCGCACATATTGTAGGACCGCAACCAGGTAAGATACCAGTCTAGCCAATTGTACAGGGTATCGTGGTCATCAGCGCCGTCGTACTTGCCGGGGGGATCTATCTTCGGATGTTTCACCCCGGGAGGCAACGGCGGCGCTAGTACCCCTGTCTTGAAGCGAATATTATCGCAGAGCTGCACTAGCATCACCTCGCGATGACCGTCGGTGTCCACCAAATGACCCATGGCCTCATCCGCTGCCTGGTTCGATCGTCCAACCATGGATAACGGGACGATTGGATCCCGGTCGGTGTAGGCATGGGTAGTAGGAGGGTATGCGGGGAATGCCCGCGAGGCCACAGGCCCTTGGGGTACAAGGAAGGCCTTGGGCTTGTGTGTGTGGGTTACAGGCGACGAGCTGGGAGCGTCGCTCAAGCGAGTAGCACGTTCACTTTGTATGAAGTGAACGTGTTCTACCGCCTGGGCAACGTTGTCTTGCAGCGCTGCCTGTACGCGCTGTTGACTACGCACGGCGGAGTCCACCCGCCGGTTGTACTGGTCGATGGTTTCATCGAGCCCCCGCGGACCCAATTCACTGGGGGTTTCGGCGGGGTGCCTTGAGGAATCAGCTGGCCTGTGGTGCTCCTGACCAGTGGGTCCTCCCATATGAGGAGGAATGTCCCTGGTCGGAGGCGGTACCTCAGGCGGCGTATAGTCACGCCCCGCTGGTTCTGTCGGTATGGGCGGCGCCGGCACTGACCGGTCCTCCTGGCCCGCAGACGGCGCGCTTGCCCGATGATTCGCACCTGAGGAGGGAATCATTGGGGACGGCTGTCGGGGGGCAGGTGGCAAAGCGATGGCCGCCAACTGTCGTGGGTGCTGTCGAGGAGTGGACGATGACAGGGGCGCCGACGAGTCCATCATCGCATTCGTCGCTGATAGACCGCGTTCGACGTCCCTTAGCATCTTCGTGTTGTCCTCTGCAATGCGATTCATCCGCGAGCGCATAGCGTCGACCTCCGCCAGGTACTCGAGTACGAGCGACTTGCCCATGAAGGCATGCCGGTCGGCCTCTTGCACGTTGGCGGCGATCTGCTCAGTCCGCCCTCGAATCTGGTGATGCAACCCTTCTTGCTGCTGGCGGATCACCCGAAGGCTATCGTCAACGACCTGCGATCGGAAATCCGATGCAGATGGTTCGTGAAGCGATGGTTGGGGATGACCGCCCGGGACACCTGTAACTGCTGGGCCGTACAACGATTCGGCGTACGTGGTCTGGGGCGCCTGGGACATACTGTACCCTTGAGACGGGTATAACCCATACCCCTGGGGCCCAGGGTAGTATGTATAACCCATAGCTCCTGGAGGCGCCGAGTACCCCTGTATCATGGGTCCCGGGTGCATGGGGTATCCACCGCCGGGCATCATCGGGGGACCCATGTTAGGATATATCCTGAATGGGTCGTTCGAGATACTCGGTGGCATGCCAGGGCCGTCCCACCGCGGTGGTCCCGTGTGAGGCACCTGTGGGTGCGGTTGTTGCATGGTGGGCGGTTCCGCCGTCGCGCCACGGACTCCTAGTGGGTCCGCCAGAGGAGGGGTGAGATCTGAGGCGGTGTTATACCGTCCCAGACGCTCCCTGCTCGCGGCGGTAGTGTGGAATGCCATTCCATCCCACTGCGGTCCGCCTAATGGCGATGGTGAGGGCGGTGTCGTCTCGGCCCCGGCCCCGGTGACGTTCGAGGCTGGCCGACGAGGTCCAGCGGTATTGGGATTACCGCCTTCCCAGGGCGGTGGATCGTCACCTTGGGAGGGGACGGGATCACCTCGGACAGTGCCATCACTGTCCGAGTATGCCGTCGTGAAACTTTGAGCGCTGGATCCCCCCGTTTGGGAGGAAGATCCGGAGCTCGAAGCGTTTTGTCCGGGTGGCCCGGGGAGCATTCTCGGAGCTCGTCCGGGATCAGGACCTTCTGGAGGTCGCGATCCTTGGGAAACGGGCTCGCTACCGCCTTCCTGTGAAGGGGAATGACGCACCGTGGTATCCATCACCGGATAAGTATCCTCAGTCTTCTCCTGTTGATTAGACTAGAAGTGAACTCAAAAAAATGTAAGTAACAGTAGGGTCGCCTTATCAAACCAGTGTGAGTTGCACAGAGTCTTGAATATAGGCGTATGAGATGAGGATACAAATGAGAACGGCGGCGCTGAGGCCCCGGGATGGTGCTATACAGTCCATGTCCAGCCACTGCCCACGGGCGCCTAAGCGCCAGAACCCGACCGCGGCACAGCCACGGTCACCGAGGCCTTACAGCGCACGACTTCGCTGCTATCGCCTCGCCTCGCATCTGCGGCCGGCGTGCTGCTGTATGCCGCGCAACGTGGGCCCGCGGGCAGCGCGGCCCGTACAGGCACGAATTTGTGAACACGAACTCGTCTAAAGAGACTTGGTACATATGTAACACATGTCCGAGCCCGAGAAGCCCGTGCATGCATCATGCACGGGCCGAACGACAAGTCGGAAAGATATAGGGCGGTTTATTGCGGATCTGACAAGACGTTTATGTGTGCATTCGGGGCTCGTAGAACAGGGACCTCACTTAGTTCGTCAATGAACTCGCATTTATTAATGGGAAAGCTGGTCATATGGATGTGAAGGCGTCGCAGCCAATGATTGCGCGACAATCCAGAGGCCTGTAGTAAGGACGAGTGCAGCCCCTGTTGTAGTTTTAATGTATTATAAACCGTTTATATGCCTGCGGTGCATTACATTATAAACCGTTCCGGTTCGTAATGTATTACGAACACCCCGGGGGCCCGAGGCATCTGCCCGGCACCTGCCAAATATGGCAGGCAGCCCCGGAAGCGCTGTTATCAGTGCCCGGCACTCTCCAGTGGCTTATCTCTTATAGATAAGGCCTCTATCTCATCAATCCGAGCTCCCCGGACATCCGGATAGCCCCTCCCACCCGGCGCTTTGGCTCCCGCCCTGCCACATCCCAATTAGGAAGGTGTACTCAACACCTGCACCCAGGGCAAACT